CAGGTACCTGATGATCACAAAACCTTGTCGAAACGTTGTACATTTGCTGTTATGTTAAACTTATATTAAAGTCCTTAAATATTGACACCTGAATCTGCAACCTCAATAGTAAAAAAAAAAGTAAATTTATTATAAAAGGACCCAAATTACATTTTAGGTAATGCTATAATCTAATAGTTTTCTAAATCATTTGTTTATTTAGTTAATGCATAGCTCCCATTATTTTAAAACTATGTAATTTAATTAGTGTTTGATTGTTTTTGATGCAAAGCCGCATTGTACTATCTGCTGTGTCCACCGCGAGGAATCGAATCCCAGATTTTAGCGTTGTAAGTCCGTAAACTTAATGCTGCCCTACCGGGGGACCAATTAATTTCAACAGTAGAATAAGTAAAGCGAGGTTACGAAACACAGTTAGTATATATTCCATACTCGGGTATACCACGCATTTCATTTTCAAAGCCCCCTAGTGGCACAGCGGTATGCCTGCGAATTTACAACGCTAGAAACCGGGTTTCGATACCCGTGGTGGACAGAGCACAGATAGCCCATTGTGTAGCTTTGTGCTTAATTCCAAACAAACAAGCAATCAATCATTTCCAAACGAAAATGTAGTTTGTAGAATTTTGAATTTTTGCTAAATATAAAATTAAAATAATCCAATTCAGTTTTTATTTATTCATAAAACTTTTAAAAAATGATGCAAATTAAAATTTTTCATATAATATCAGAATGCAGTACCGATATACAAAATGCCAGGTTTTACTAAACTCTCAAAACAAATTTTGAGTCTTATAAAAACATGATGGATCCGTCATAAAAAATAAAGGAATTGTAATTTCCAACTCGAAGCCCTCCACATGGGCATAAACGACCAGATTAGAAACTTCTACGGTTCCAGTGCAGATGTTCTTAATTCAACCACAAAACTACAGATCAGAGACAGGGCCACATCAACCGCAATAGGCGCTTTCTCCTGACTTTTACTGAATAATGGGATTGAATGTCATTTTTATAAAGTACCCAGAGCTGAAAGTGAAGAGCATGTTCAGTGGGAAATCATGGCTCAAACTTGGACACTGAGATTCGCAGATCCGAAAGCTAATTCCTAAAACACACCGAGCCGTAAAATAAAATTTTGTTTGATTTCGCACAAAGCTACACGAAGGATATGTATCTTAACGTTCCCTAATTTTGAAGCGACAGACTAAAGGAAGGCAACTAGTCACCGCCAACTCTTGTGGGTACTCTTGCCAGTTCGAATACTGGAATTTGGCTCTCACTCTTATAACGCATCCTCTGTCACAAAGTGTGGAGCGTAATTTTTGTTTGCGAGTATAGAGAACGCGAGACACGGAACCTCCACTCCACAATCAGACACTAACCACTAGGCCACGCTCGTACCACAAAATGTAGGAAGATGACAAGTTAAACTGATAAATAAAAGCATTTTTTTATTGAGACACCATTTTATTTTATGTTTCTAATCATAACAAATCTAGAGCAGTTGACAAAAGGTTGATTGTATATTTGTTTAAAGCCCCTTCATGATTTTCAGAGGCACCAATGAACTGATGGAGCACTTCCATTACCCCCAATTAGTTCTATAGCTACCCCAAGGGGACTTCTTACCCCTAAAAAAATCGTTACAACAACCTCCCATGGTACCCAAGCACATACGCCACGTTTGGTACCACTCGCTTGCGTGAAAGCGGTAAGTTTATGGACTTACAACGCTAAAATCCGGGATTAGATTCCCCCACGGTAGACACAGCGGATATCTCAAAGTGGCTTTGCTCTAACGCAAACAAACAAGCTAGTTTGTGAACAGGAAATATAAACACAGTTTCAGAAATGGGCCCTGGGATCCGAGTGGGGCCAGGAACACAATATCCGATATCAGGTTCGAGTTCAGCAAACCAACTTCTAGAACCTCATCATGCCTGGGTAACCTTCTGGACGCTTATTAGTCCTCTTGGCACTAAAAATAGATAGGTGCAGAGGACTACGCCATTCCCCGGGTCATCCCGAGTCCACCAACCATGTTTGGTCCTGCTATCTCCGAAATTGTTGAAACAGTTCACGAACAAATTCACAAACATACAACGTGAACTAATAAATGGAATGCTTTCAGGGAAATGTTGTTCAGGTTTAAGACGAATAAAATTATAAAGTTTTTGTATAATAATTACCGTTTGTAATTGAAATGCCATATATTTCTCACATGAAAATATAATAATGAAATGATGACTTCTTCTGAATACGAAGGAAGCACTTTTTTCTGGAATGAAATCAGTTTTCTATAAAAAACATTTCCAGCAATGATTTTTTTCACAAAGGACTATCTGCTCGTAGCTGTCCCTAATGTTAAACTGATATACTAAAGG